CTGAAGAAGTCAAGGAGACAGATTTGCTCCTGGACAGGTAACAGCTCTGCTGACACTTTGATTTTAGTCTGGTGAGATCCACGCCAGATTTATGAAGTAAAGAACTACAGGACAGCAAATTTATGTTGTTTTAAGTCATCAAGTTTGTAAAACGTTGTTACAATAGCAACAGAATATACCTGGTGTTGATAAGAAACCAACTTTAAATATCGAGACACACAGAAAGATTAAAAGTGAAATGATGGAAAAAGAGGCTAACTCTAATCAAAAGAATGCTGGAGAGGCTAGTAATACCAGACAAAGTAGATTTCTGAGGAAAGAATATTGCCAGAGATAAACTGTGTCATTTCATAAGGATTAAAGGGTAAATTAATCAAGGGGACATAACAATCCTAAATATATATACACACACTTGGTAACAGAGCTTCAAAATACTTCATACAAAAACTGATAGAACTAAAAGGAGAAATGGACAAATTTCTAATTATGGTTAGAGGCTATAGCACTTATCTTTTGGCAATTCAAAGGACAAGTAGAAAACAGACAAACAGACAAAAAAGTAACCAGTAAAAATATAGAAAATGTGAACATTATCAAGCAATTAGATCTGACGCTTAGAGAACATTCTTCCCAACAACAATGGAATACAAACCCATTTCAAGTGCCTGTGAAACATTCACTGTACTTTGGACCATAAAAAAGATTCAAAATAACAACTAAGTATATTCTATGACTAAAATAAAATTAAACTAGAATTAATAACAGAACTATCAGAAATTAAACAATGTGCTTCTAAGTAATACCTCATTAGTAAAAGAAAAAATCACTAGGGTAATTAAAAAATACTTTTAACTGAATAGAAAAAGTTCCCAAATAAATAAAAACTTTATGAGTTATAGCCACAGCAGTGCTTAAAGCACTAGATTTGTATATGAGAAATGAAAAAGGGTCTAAGATCAGCAATGTAAGCTTCTACGTGAAAAAACTAGAAAAGGAAAAGCAAATAAACTGAAGGAGGGAAATTATGAAGATCATACATGAAGTCAATGAAATAAAAAATAGAACAATAGAGAAATCAGTGAAAAATGAAAGCTGGTTCTCTGTATAAAATTGATAAACCTAGAGCCAGTATTTCCAAGAAAAAAAACACACAAATTGCCAACGTCAGGGATTAAAGAGGGAACATTACTAGAGATCCTACAGAAATCAAACTGTCTAACAAGAGGATGTGGTGGTAGTTTAGTTGTTAAGTCATGTCCTACTCTTGCAACCCCAAGGACTGTAGCCTGACAGACTCACCTGTCCATGGGATTTCCCAGGCAAGACTACTGTATTGGGTTGCCATTTCCTTCTCTAGGGGGTCTTTCCCATCCAGGGATTGAACCTGTGTCTCCTGCATTGCAGGCGGATTCTTTACCACTGAGCCACCACGGAAGCCATAACAAGAGGGTAACATGAACAACTTTATGTCAATAATGTCAGATAAACTTTAGATGAAATGAAAAATTTCCTTTAAAGATACAGCTATCAAATGCTACTCAAGATATAATAGGAGACTGGAATAGTCCTATATCCATTAAAGAAATTTAATTTATAGTTAAAAACCTTCTAACAAAGAAAAATCTAGGCCTAGTGGTTTCACTAGGGAATTCTATTAAACATTTAAGGAAGAACTGATAACAATTCTACACAAACTCTTTAAGAAAATGAGAGGAGGGAACATTTCTCAACTCATTTCTGAGAGCCCCATATCAACACTAAATCAAGGCAAAGATATGAGAACAGAAAACTACTAAAGAAGAACTACAGAAGAATCCATCATAGCTGTCATGAACATAGATGTAAAAATATGTATCTAAATTTTAGAAAGTTTAATCTATTAATTTATAAGCAGGACAGTATGTCGTAACCAAGTGTGGAATGCAAGGTTGTTTTAACATTCAAATATCCATCAATATGATGATTAATACCATGCAATGTATTAACAGACAAACAATGAAAAACCCTAAGATTATCTTAGTATATGCAGGAAAAAAATGTGATAAAATCCAACACCCATTCATGATAATACTCTCAGAAAACTACAAAAGAAAGAAATTTTCTTAACAAGATAAAGAAGATCTACAAAAAAACCAGGTGAATGAAGTGAAAGTCACTCAGTTGTGTCTGACTCTTTGTGACCCCCTGGACTGTACAGTCCATGGAATTCTCCAGGCCAGAATGCTGGAGTGGGTAGTTGTTCCCTTCTCCAGGGGATCTTCCCAACTCAGGAATTGAACCCAGGTCTCCCACACCACAGGTGAATTCTTTACCAGCTGAGCCACAAGGGAAGCCCAAGAATGCTGGAGTGGGTAGCCCATCCCTTCTCCAGTGGATCTTCCTGTCCCAGGAATTGAACCTGGAGCTAGTTAATCTACATATATGAATGGTGGAAGAATGTATCTTTCTCCCTAACACTGAAGACAAGGGAAAAATGTTTGCTATCATCACTTCCATTCAACATTTTACTATAGGCTCTAGCCAGTGTAATAAGGTAAGGGAAAAAAAGCCACACAGATTCAAAAAGAGGTAAAACTATGTTTATTTGCAGACTTATCTATGTAGAAAGACACATCTATCATAAAGAAATCTATAAAAAGCTACCAGAATTAATAAGTCAGTTTAGCAAGGTTACAGAGTACATGGTCAACACACAAAGAAATCAATTGCAATTCTAGATAGTAGCAAAAACAACAGATATTGAAATCAATACCATTTACAAGAGCATAAAAACATAAAATAATTAGTTGGATAAGACTTATATATTCAAAACTTCAAAAATGCTGTTGAGAAAAGGTAAAGAAGATCCAAATAAATGGAAAGATATGCCATTTTTAGGAACTGAACACTTAATACTGCCAAGATGTCAGTTCTCCCCAAATTGGGCTACAGATTGAATGTAACCCAATAAATTCTCCTGCTCATTTTTTAATCTAACAAGAGAAATCAACAAGTTGAGTCTAATATTTATTAAAAAAAAAAAGCAAAGGCCAGAATAGTCAAGACAATTTATAATGAACAAAACAAAATTGGAAGGCCATACTATCTGATTTTAAGACTTACTATAAAATTAGGATAGTACAGAAATGGCACAAAGTAGTCTAACAGATAAAGAATGTTCTTCATCAATGTGCTAGAACAACTGAACATCCATGTTAAAAAAAGAATTTTAGCTTTTATCTCATAATAGTGAGTGAAAGCTGCTCAGTCGTGTCCAATTCTTTGTGACCCCAAGGACTAATACAATTTATGGAATTCTCCAGGCCAGAATACTAGAGTGGGTAGCCTTTCCATTCTCCGGGGAATCTTCCCAACCCAGGGACTGAACCCACGTTTCCCGCATTGCAGGTGGATTCTTTACCAGCTGAGCCACAAGGGAAGCCTCTTATAATACAATGTACAAAAATAAACTGAATGGAACATAGACCTAAACATAAGAGCTAAAACTATAAAACTTTTAGAAGAAAACACAGAAAAAAACCTTTATAGCCTCGGGTTAATAAGCAAAGATTTCTCAGGACAGGACACAAAAGACATGATCTCTAAGAGAAAAAAATAATTGGACTTCCTCAAAATTGAAAACTTTTACTCTTCAGAAGATATTGTTAAGAAACTAAAAAAGACAAGACAAAGTTGAAAAAATATTTGCAAAACATGTATATGAGAAAAGGTTTGTAGCAACAATATATAACAAACACTTTCAAGATAAAATAACTCAGAAAAGCTGGGTAGAAGACTGGAACAACTGCTTCACCAAGAAGACAGACAAATGGCAAATAAGCATGAAAGGATGCTCAAATTAACATCCATTAGTGAGATGCAAATTAAAAACACAAGGGGAGTTCACTTCATGCCCATTAAGACGATTAAGATGAAAAAGACTGATAATCGGGACTTCCTGGGCAGTCCAGTGGTTAAGAATCTGCCCTGTAATGCAGGGAATGTGGGTTCAGTCCCTGGTTGGGGAACTAAGCTCCTACATGCCACGGAGCAACTAAGCCCGAGTGCCTCAACTACTTGAGACTGCGCAGGGAAACTGCAATGAAAGATCTTGCATGACATACTCCTGCATGCCGCGTCTAAGATCCAAAGCAGCCTCTGCCTCCTACCCCCAACAAGACTGAAAATAGCAAGTGTTAGGGAAGACAGAGGGCAACTGGAGCCCTTATGCATTGCTGCAGGAGCAAAATGGTACAGTCACTTTGTAAGAGTTTGGCAGATTTTAACAATGTTAAAAACACATCTAGCATACAACTCAGAAATTTCACCTTGGTACTTACTCAAGAGAAATATTTGTCCACAGAAAGACTTGTGCATGAATGTTCACAGTAGCATTATTCAAAACAACCAAATAATGGAAACAACCCAAATGTTATCAGTTGGTGAAAATATATTAACAAATTAATAAATGTGGTAACCCATACAATGGAATAACACCGAGTGATAGAAAGATAAAAACTGATTCGCAAAAAAAGGCATTATGCTAAACAGAAGAAGCCAGACACAAAGGACTATATGTCACATGATTCCACTTATATGAAATTCTGGAAAAGGCAAACTACAGTGAGAGAATGTAGACAGTAGTTCCTTGGGGCTGGAACTAGGGGGAGGGACTGATTAGAAGGGGTCATGAGGGAGTTTTTGTGGTGATGAAAATGTTGTTATCTTGGCTGTGGTGGTTCATGACTATGTATATACATTTGTCAGGATGCATTGAACTGTTCACTTAAAATCAATAATTTTTACAGTGTGTAAATTGTACTTTAATAAAGCTGATTAAAAATAAACTGTCCATCAAAATATGAAAAAGGGTATTTTCTGTCTTTTAAGTAATAGTTACAATCTTTCAGTTTGGTTAAACCATCTTTCCCCTTTTGTAGGATGATCATCTCAAAAGCACCTACTCTAAGAGACCACAACCAAGTTCCTCCTCTCAAAACAATGCTCTCCCTGATACTCACCAAGAGCAGTGAGTCCCTCTGAGATGGATGTGAGAACATACAGGAGTACAGGAGGGTCTAAGTTGGTGATGAAGCTCATGTGGTCCTGGGTGAGACATTCCAAGAGTGGATAATACGACTGGCTCAGTTTCCGATATTGCTATAATAGAAATACTAAATGTCAAGCCACAGGGAAGCAAAAGACATGCTACAGTTCAGTGAAAATTGCCATTTATAAGACTGGAAATTGCGACCTTATTTACACAAAAATATATAAATAAACAAACATATAAACAAAGATATATAAAATAATTAGGTTGGTACAAATATAATTGCAGTTTCAGACTGTGAATTTTAAATAATTATGAAAATGAAAGTGTGAAAGTGTTAGTCGCCCAACTGTGTCTGATTCTTTTCGACCCCATGGACTGTAGCCCACCAGGCTCCTCTGTCCGTGGAATTCTCCAGGCAAGAATACTGGAGTGGGTTGCCATGCCCTTCTCCAGGGGATCATTCCGGCCCAGGGATCACACCCAGGTCTCCAGCATTGCTGGTAGACTCTTTACCATTTGAGCTAGCCAGGAAGCCTGGGTATAAATCATTTTAACTTGGTTCGAACACATCTTTTTAAATCAAGATAGGAACCATTACAATCAACACATTTTTGCCAATGAGAAATAAGTTTGTTTATTCCTATAGCATAAAAATCCACACTTTGGGATTCGATGAACTAATGAGAAGCATTTTCTGCTTTCTGCTGGTTGTGGAAGCATTTTCCCTGAAAAAAGTCAATATGCTTGAAGATGTGGTAGTCCGTTGGCAAGAGGTCAGGTGAATATGGCCGATGAGGCAAAACTTCATAGCCCAATTAATTCAATTTTTGAAGCATCGGTTGTGCGATGTGCAGTCTGTCATTGTCGTAGAAAAGAATCAGGCCCTTTCTGTTGATCAATGCCGGCTGCAGGCACTGCAGTTTTTGGTGCATCTCTTCAATTTGCTGAGCATGCTTCTCAGATGTAATGGTTTCACCAGGATTCAGAAAGCTGGAGTAAGATCAGACCAGCAGTGGACCATCAAACAGTGACCATGACCTTGTTTTTGGTTCAAGTTTGGCTTTGGGAAGTGCTTTAGAGCTGCTTCTTGGTCCAGTCGCTGAGCTGGCCATCTCCAGTTGTTGTATAAAATCCACTTTTCATTACAAGTCACAATCTGATTGAGAAATGGCTTGTTGCTGTTGCGGAGAGTAAGAGAAGACACCACTTCAAAGCGACAGTTTTTAAAATTTTCCGGCAGCTTATGAAGCACATATTTATCCATCTTTTTCACCTTTCCAATGTGCTTCAAATGCCGAATGACTAGAATGGTCAACGCTGAGTTCTTCAGCAACTTCTTGTGCAGTTGTAAGAGATCAGTTTCAATGACAGCTCTCAGTTGGTCACTGTCAACTTCCAATGGCTGGCTACTGTGCTCATTTTCAAGGCTCTCATTGTCTCCTTTGCAAAACTTCTTGAACCACTACTGCATTGTACTGTAGGCTGTGTTTAGTCACTCAGTCGTGTCTGACTCTGTGCAACTCCATGGACTGCAGCCCTCCAGGCTCCTCTGTCCATGGGGATTCTCCAGGCCAGAATACTGGAGTGGGTGGCCATGCCCTCCTCCAGGGGATCTTCCCAATCCAGGGATTGAACCCAGGTGTCCCACTGCAGGTGGATTCATTACTGTCTGGGCCACCAGGGAAGCCTGAATGCAATGCTTATTAGCAGTTTCTGGGCCAAATGTGTTGTTGACGTTACAAGCCATCTCTGCCGCTTTACAACACATTTAGAACTCAAATAAGAAAATTACTCGAATTTGCTTTTTAATATCATTTCCCTAGTCTAAAATAAATACAAAATAAACAGCAATAAGTCATTAGCAAAAAAATATAGTGATAAAGGTGTATTAAAATGATGTATAACATAACCACATTTATTTAAGAATGTATTCCAATACCAAATGGCAAAGTTCAACAGTGCAAAACCGCAATTTCTTTTGCACCAACCTAACATGGAACAAATGACGTAATGATTCTCAATTCAGTATTTAAAGGAATTTTAATAAAAATATCTTGATCTCTAGAAGTCCTAATTTGAAGCTATAGTATAGCATAGTATGCAATTTCAATTTGCCTTATATGGTTAACAGTTAAGTGCAAGCAACACCGTTGTAGTATGTAATTTAGAAGACTGAATTATTTTTCTGGGCTGGAATAATATAACACAGAACCGTGCTTAACAGGAGCTAGGGAATCTTTTTTTTTTTTTAAACACAAAAAAATCTGCTGCTATAGGATTTGGTATCATCATCTGCTGTATTCACACAATGTCAACCCATCTAACTAAATCATAACTGTATAAATGGCTTAATATTTACCATACACAACAGGAAAAAGATAAGTGCATGAGAAATACACCTGGAAAACCTCAAATGAAACTCAAACCAGTATCAAAGAAGCACAACACTCATAAGAGAAATAAACCATAGCAATATTTATTTAAAGTGAGATTAAGACTACCTCCATAAAAAATCACATGGGCGTGCTTGTTAAAAACGTAGTTTTCTGATCCCCAGTTCAGACTTAACAAAATGAAAACCTCTGGAATGAGGTCCTGAAAAGGGCATTTAAAAAGTATATTCTAAGGGAGTCCTATGCATCCTCAATTTTGAGATTACTGAGGTAAAGGTTTGCTTGTCTACTAGAAAAAAGATCAGAGAAAATCCTGGAGCCATATCAGGTTTTTCTGTTTGTTTGTTTTTTTTTTGTGGGCTTCAACTGCTAAATGAAGAGTTCCCTCAGTGAGGAGGCTGTAGCACATGGCTGATTTGACTCAAGTCTCTACTCCATAATTTATGTCGCACAGGCAGCCTTCAATGAGCATCCCATTCTACTGCAAAGAGGCTGGACACCTTTAGCTTGAGATGCGTTTTTTTTGTTTGGTTTTTGGGTTTTTGGGGCCACGCTGTGTTGCTTACGGGATCTTAGTTCCCTGACCAGGGACTGAACCTGGGTCCTTGGCAGTGAAACTGCAGAGTTTTAACCACTGAACTGCTAAGGAATTCCCAAGATGTGGTTTTATGAAGACTAGCTAAGAAAGGTGGAAGAGGGTACCACTAGTCCATTAGAATGTCAAGAAGCATTTCTCATACAGGCTAACTAATGCAGGCCCCCAGATCTTACTTGTAGTCTTGGGCAGGTGGGAAAGCCTGAGCATGAGTTTGGCTGTGTTACTGAAGCAAGTACTGCAACCATGCTGGGCATATATTAGCTTTTGTGTAATCAGGCAGAGATATTAAAAAAAAAAAAAAAAGTCTGATAATGACACAGCTCAGTGGAGAAGCCTGGAAATTTGAATTCCAGCAAGTACCCCTGGTGATTCTGATGGACTTCAAAGTTTGAAAACTACTGACATAAATCACTAAAACTAGACAGTAGGGTAGAAAAGGGACCTAGAGATCACTTTGTTTAATTTACTCATTTTAGAGGTGAGGAAATTGAAGCCTTGAGAAATAGAGAAGGTGATTTATTCTAGGTAAATGACCAGTGAGTGGCAGAGTTGAGACTATATACCAGGTTGCTCAACTTCTAGTTCAGCACTCTGTCCACTACATCAGAATGTTACAGGAAAGGAAAGCCACACAGCAGGGGAAAAAGACAGAGCAGAGCTGAAGGAGGGAGAAGGTCTTAGAGTCATCTGCATTTCTGCCTCAGGAAACACAGACCTTTTCTGAATTGTCAGCACAGTTGTAAGCACTTAGTTGAAATCGCTAATTACGCTTTCTGTAGACACAACTTGGAACACTCTAGATGACCAATTTGTCACAAGATGCAGTTTTCAAAACTGCACATTTAATTGTATAAAAACAGCCACTATAGTTGTTCTAATTCCTTAAGCTAAATCAAATGCTGTCCTCAAACATAAAATGATCTAGTACTGTTCTAACTTCTTGGGTTTCATTGTAACAATTCTAAGCCTGTGGTGGTGTTACTTCACATTTCATACAAAGACTCCCAGGATACAGGATTGCTTACGAGCAAGTCACTGTGGGACACTGACAGCAGCATTTTGACAAAGGCTTGGAGTACATTGTCAAAGTGGTTGTCTCCATACAACTTGAAGACGCCAAAGCTGACATAATTTCCACACAAGGCAGATTTGAGAGCTGAATAGCAGATGGAGATGCCCTTGAGTTTCACTGGATAAATCTGATCTTTGGAGAGACTCCCAAGGGACAGGATCTGATTACCTGTTTCAGGGTAAAAGCAGAGTGAGAGAGCGACATGAGTAGATGTGATTCAAAGCGGTTATCAGGCACATTATTCAACATTTTCACTTTATCGCTACTGTTCATTTTCCCCTACTGTTTTTCCAAGATTCACACTGTCCATATAATGAAAAATATAAATACATAGGGCAGTTTATATGGGAAGTACAAATGGCCCAGTGAAAATCAATCAAAGGTACTGGAGAAGTTTGATATTTTTGTCTGGATGGTGATTACATGAATATATATGTAGATACATAAAAATTCATTTGAGTTGTACTAAAGATTAGTTTATGTACTCTAATTTACATTATCTCTTCTTCAATAAGAAGTGAAAAGAAAGTAGGAGTAAATAACCAACTAAATCAAGAAAAGAAAACTTAAGACAGATACATGTTACTCTAAATTGTGGGGTGAATTTTCAACTTTTTCACATGAACTTGATATTGAGCTACATCACTTTTAGGAGGATCACAGGTTTGGCATGTGAAATAAATGAAATAAGACACATAAGTTCTTGGCATAGTACACAATAAATGTTACTTCCCTTTTCTCCTTAGATCCTTTTTCAGAAGACCTAAAGAGATGATCATTTAAAAACTACTTAAATTCTATGTTTGACCATCAAAAACAAAGTAATGTTTATATAATCACCTTACAGTTTTTCTAGTTAGCATTTACAACCAACAGTTTCTCTTTCTGAAAGGTGTGCTAGTAAGGCATATTACTAGACAATATCCAAGAATGCTTTGTAAAAAATTATAAAGTTAGATGTGTTTCTTAGCTCTGCTTTTTCCTGTTCAAGTAACACTTCTAAAATTGAAACTAAATTCAATTTACAAAATTTAGAGGCATACTGTTGTGGTTCTGTACTGTGTCTTTTGGGCTAAATAAGAATTAAGTTTCCCAGAATACATTTCCCTGTATAGTTGTGGGCTAGAATTGAGCAAAAGAGAAATCTATATGAGATTTGGAAGATGAAAGTGAAGTAGCAGCTAGGACTTTCTGAAGGTTGTTGTGATTAGAGGCTGTGAGAAAAAGATGTAGAAATACCTTTGGGTTTTACTTTGCTTTTCCCAGCTCTGTGTGGAGAAGTGCAAGCCCTGCTGACCAATGACCCCAAGCCTACCACCAAGTGCTTGGCAGCAAACGCGCAGAGCAGCGGCTACACAGAGGCAACAGCCTTCCGCTGCGTCCCAACCACTGCACCAGTCCCCCTCTCACTCCACAGGCTTTTATGGTCTCACCTTGGCAGCTGGGTGTCTCTAGCTTTTAGATATCCTTGCCAGCTCCAACTTGTCCACCATGCCATTATTTCAGGAGGGCTGATTAGTGATTTTTCTCCTGAACTTCCAGCTCCCCCCGTGGAGGTCCATTTTGCCATCTCTGCCCAAGATAGTATAAGGTCTGTTTCCTAAAATAACCCCCCTATTTCATCAGTGTCACAGTGTTTGCTTTTCCCTGTTTGAATCTTGACTGATATGAACATTATGAAAACCATATACTTACTAAGAGGTTAAGAAGGACCAATAATTCTAGCAGAGCAAGAAACAGGACCAGGCCAAGGTGAAGGTCCCCTGCCCTTTATCTGTCTTTCTGAAACAGCTGCATACACATTTTGTGTTTTTTTTTTTTTTTCCTTTCTATGAATCCTCAGAAGCCCAGTGGCTTTGCTTATAATTTATGCATTTGAATTACACCACCACTGTGATGGCTGAAGCATATCTTGGAATTTACTCCATACCACATTCTGTCATACCCTCTCTCATGATCTCATCCTAACTTCTCTTAGAAAGATATGGTAAGTTTCAACTCAATATGATAGTATTTACTTAATAGCTACTGGTGGGAGAGTAGATTCATAAACAAATAATTCCATACAATGTGACAAACACTATCAGAGACCTATGTCAATATTTTATGGGAATAGAAGAGACTGACTTTGCTTGGGCAGGAGAGCAGTGTGAGAAAGGCTTCACAGAACAGGTTGCTTCTCAATGATCAATCACAACTTCTCAGATGGACTTGAAGGGAGAGAAGAATATTCCAGAGCTTCTGTGCACAGGCATGAAGGCCTGAAACAGCAGGGAACTGCAGCAGAGGGCAGTTCTCAGCCAGTGCTTTACGACCTTCGCCTCCAATTCAATCTACATCAAGACACACATTCCCTGTCCCTTCCCCTTTCCCAGGGAAGAAAAGCACTGCTTGCATGTGATGGGAAAAGCTGGATAATTTGGTGGTAGTGGTGGCGGTTTACACATTTTGAGTTAAGGAGGCTAGGGTCAAACAAAGAAAAGTAGGTCATCTTCTGGGGACTTCCTATGCTGAGGTCCTCATGGAGAAAGTAAAGATCCTATATTCTTCAGCACAAGATGGAATAGGCAGACTGTGTTGGGAGAAAATTTTTGATTCTAGAAGACTGGATAACCTATCATCAAGAAGGATTAATTATTTAGAATCACAACTTTCATCTCGTATTAAAGTTATGATCTGGTGTACATGTCTTCTGGACTATTTCAGACACACCTGTGTTAATTAAAACAGTAATTAGCATACCACTATGACCTTGAAAAAGTAGAATGAGTATACTTTTGAAAGAGGAAACTGTATTTCATCGTACTCCAGTGGTTTCGCATTCCATGGTGGCTATAAACGACAATGGAAGAGAAGGCATGTCATTTATCCACTCCTATCAGCGTTATTCAATTTATGTTATTCAACAATCCTTACTGAAATTGGAGTCCCTGCCCTCAAAAAGCTTAAAATCTAGCAGTTAGACTCACATTGCTCTAAACAAAAGTGATCAAGTTGAGATTTTGTTTCAGTGTTCCTCTATAGGTATGACAAGCCTCTTTGCCTTCCCTATTTCTACCCCACCCCTGTGAAGTCCCATTTCCTTCCTTCCATCTTTATTACACTGATGGACTGCTAGGTGATGAAGGCAGCCGCTGAAGCCACTAACAGTTGCCACTTGTAAAAAAGAAATGATACACTTTCTGTAATGAAATTAGAGACTTCCAAAGTTTAGAACCAAAAGGGAAATCTCTAGCTGTTTCCCACTGACTATATCTGTCATAACTGGGACCAGTTACAGTAACAGTACTTATAACTCACAAGGCTCTTATGTGGAGTAAAGGAGACAGCATATGTAAAATGCTTACCCCAGTAACTGGCAGAGTGCTCACGTAAACTATAACCATACACAGTATTAAGTGTTCTTTTCTCTCTCCAGTCTACTAGCCTGTAAGTTCAGACATGGGAGCTACGGCCTGAAAAAGAGGAGGTAAAGCTGAGTGTGTCTGGTGAAGAATAATGTCACTTTCTTCTGATACATAATTCAAAGTAAGGACAATGCTATATATCTGACCACTTTCCCTCTATTCCTTCAAAAGAGAACTGGCTGTAGGGTATCACATTGTGGATCTTTGGCCCACAATCTACCATTTCCCTGTGCCCTCAGAAGAACACATTTTAAAACATTATTTATTCACTTGACTGCATCAGTTCTTAGCTGTGGGACACGCACAGCATCTCTTCACCGTGTCATTAGGCTTCTCTCTAGTGAGGGCTCGTGGGCTCTCTAGTTGTGGTTGTGGGTTCAGTAGTTGTGGCATATGGGCTTAGTTGCCCTGTGACACGTGGAATCTTAGTTCTCCAATCAGAGATCAAGTCTGCATCCCCTGTGTTGGGAGGTAGATTCTTAACCACTGGACTACTAGGAAAGTCCCAACAATAGTTTTTAAAAAAGGCACAAGGGCTAAAATAAACGGTAGTTCTATCTTGTACCAGGAAGCACTAACAGTATGAACAATGTTCCTTCCTGGTTTATAAAGCAATCTATTACACTGATTCACCTTTTATTTTTCCCTTTTAATCTCTAAAATTTTAAAGCGAATTTGATATTTAGCTGACAGCTCTATAGGTTGAATGTCTTCATTTACCATCAGAACAGTTATGGGAGGAGAACTACAAACTTGCTGACATTATTTTAGGTCGCTCAACCCACTCTGTCTCTGCAAACCAGCCGAACCCCCTGGATGTAAGTGGTTTGAGACAGAAATGAAGCTGTGGATATGGAAAGGAATATAATATTTCCCATTCAGGTTGAAAAAGATTAAAACAATGCAGCATTGATAAGCATGTGGTGAATTAAGAAAATTGTTGGGAATGTGAATTAGTATAACCATTCTTGAGGGCAATTTGGTTAAATTTATTAAAACTGTGTAAATCCACTTTTGGGAATACATTCCAAAACAAATGTTCACTGCCATATCTCACCATCTCCTAGCATTTGCACTTATACACAGGCTCTGTAAAAGCCAGCCTCTCAACGTGCTGAACCAGCTCCCATCTCCTTTTCTGTGCTTAAGAACGAAGCACAACGATTTCCCCTTTCTCTCCCCTGCAATCTTTTTTTTTTTTGAAACAAAACCTTCTCCTGGCCCTACTTCCCTGCTTGATATTACTTCCCCTTGTAACGAAACTCCTTAAAAGAATGGTGATCTTCTTCAAAAGAACTGTGTTTTCAGTTTTCCCCTAAAAGTAAACCTAAATCTTTTATATTTAAATCCACACCCCACATCCTGGCGACCCTCTCTTGTTTTGTAGCTTTAAATAGCACATAAGAGTTAATGACTTCCATATTTGTTTTTCTAGACCAGACCTCTTCTGATCCTCAGACTTGTATATCCGACTCTGTATTCAACACTTCCACCTGAATGTCTACAATCAACACTTCAAGCTCAACAAAACCAAAAGGGAACTTTTGATTTCCCCCTCATACCCAGTTTCAGCCTTTACCCTCTCAGTTAATGGTAACTTCCTCTTTCCAGTTGTTTATGAGAAAATCCCTTGATACATATATCCAATTCATCAGGAAATTTAGTTTTACTTTCAGATATATACAGAATCCAACCACTTTTCACTACTCCCACTGTTATCACCATGGTCAAAGCTAATATAAAATCATGTCAGCCCCTTGCTCAAAACATTCTAAAGTCCTTCTCTTTCACTTGGCTTTAAAGTCCTGATAATGTCTACAGGATATGAGATTACATGACACTGCTTATGTTATTACTCTCTCTTGTTCACTCTGTTCCAGCTACCGATATCCTTGCTGTTATTCAGACATGCCAGATACACTTCTGCCTCAGGACCCTAAAACTTGGTGTTCCTTCAGCCTAGAACACTCTTCCCTGAGATAGCTGCATAATTAACCCCCTCATTGACTGCAAGTCTTGGCTCAAATGTCATTTTTTCAAACGATGCCTATTTTGATCACTGTACTTAATACTGCATTATGTTTCCCAATCCCTGGTACTTCTAATACTTTCTTTGCTTTCTTTCTTCTTCTTCTTCTTTTCCACAGCACTTACTACTTTCTGACATATTAAATAATATTTTTTTCAGTTGTACTCACTGATATATCAAGAGTCTGGAACCATACTCACTACTCTCAATATATATACTTACTGAATAAGTGGATGCTCATGAAGCTGAAGGTACACAGTTGCTTGCTGAGACAATGCATGACAGTGAAAGATTGCATGTTTATAAAAATTACATTTACCAAAAGGTGAGTAGTTAAATAAATTATAGTATGACCATAAAATGGAATACTTTGCAGCTATTTTAAAAGACAAGGCAGAAAAAATAATGAAAAATCTAAGGAAAAAAGAGATATGGTAGATTTATATATATGTTAGTATGAAGGAATGGCCATGATATAAGTATAAAAAAGCAAGTTACAGATTAACAAGTACACTGTGACAGCACTTCTGGAATGACACATGCATCTGTGCACACAGAAAGTGTGAAAGAGCGCACACTGAGCGGTTGAAGGTTGTGAGTGATGAGGTAATCAGGGAGTCTCACTTCTACTTCTACAGCAGTTCTGAGATCCTTCACTTTGGTAACAGACTATTTTAATATTTTATACTTATATGACTTTATAGAAGCTATCACCTGCTTGAAATGTCCTCCTCAAACTTCTGGGCCCTGTACTTATTTCCTTGTCTGGCCCCTCAGCTTCAGTCAGAAACTTCTGGGCTCCCGTAGCACTCTGCATGTTTCTTAAGCACGAAAGTGAGCACAGTGCGTTATAATCCTTTATGGACTTGACTGAATCCACTGTTGGACTCAACGCAGAGAAGAATCAGTAAGATTCTTTTTTGTGTATTTCTCTTCCTCTCTAATTCTCACAATATCAAACATATAGTAAACGCTTGATAAACATTAGCAGCATGGATGAAAGAATCTACTGAACTCTAAGTACTTGTTTGGAGAGCACCCTTACTTATTTAACAATTTGCTTAACATTTTTTGCTTGTGTGCAGAAGTGGCCAAGTCCAACACACGTGGATTCACTGTGAAGTGTATTCCTCAAGGCCTGGCACCCTCAGGGTGCTGATCATTCCAACCCCTTCAGAGAACTTTGGTGAGCTTATTACTCTACTACTCTGTTGTTCTACGTCCCTGACCATGCTTCTGAGAGAATGTAAGGTTATATCCATGGTTCCTGAATGATCTGTTTCTCAGAACTGTTATTTCCTGGTAGCATTTTATCAAGTCTCTAATTATTTCAAGGCCAATACATCCTTCAGCTAAATTTTTATAATCATTTAAACATAAATATAAGTCATAATCCTTCTAGTAGTACATACCAGTAATTTTCAAGCTCTTTTTATCAAAAAGTGTCTTTAAGCAGGTGACCCCTATTGCAAATAAATCTAGTGTAACAATAAATAGCTGTAGTTCTGGTTGAAGTGGCAGTAGGGTCCTCTCCCCCTCCATCTCTGCAGGGTCTCTGTGGTATTATCACAGATCTCTAGGGCTCTGAAAAACCCAGTTGGAAAACCACTGGTCTGTTTTCTAGGTCACAGTAAATAACAGTGGCTTGTATATCACTTTACAAATTCAATTTAAGCATAGTATTAAGTCATACCTTAAGTGTACCTGCAACATATTATTGCTCAAAGAACCCTGATGTAAATTCTTAGGTACAGTGAATAATTATAGCTGTTCTATCCATTTTTTAAGTTTAGATTTTTTACACATTGAGCTTTCTTAAATCAGGCACCTAAGGAAGGAGTAAAAGCAGTTCTATTCTTGCCAGTCTTATAAAGACAATCACTATTTTCCCCTTCTGTGCACTCTTCAACCAACAGATGTCACTAAAGATACCATTACCCAGAGGCAAAGGGAAGAAAAGATCAGACAAATGGAAATTGAGCATAAAAAACATCCAGTTCTTAAAACTGAGAAGTAGGTTTCCAAAGTAATAACATTTATTACACTGCATGTAACATTTTAACCAAAAATTTAAGAAAGAAATTTCTTTTATTAAGTTGCTCAGGCTGAATGGATCACAGCACTAAATTTTGAAATACATGTTCTTGAAGCAATTTAAAACTCATTAGAAATAATAGGCTTGGGCTAGTAGAAAACGCGGTAAAATCTAATCCTCATCCAAATGTTACCTGGGCTGCACAAACAGGAAATTGTTCTGTGCTACTGTGGCTAACCTCATTGCTGACCCTGAGCTGTAACTGCAAGAGTGGCTGAGAGCTGCAGCAAAATTAAAAACTTACATCAAAGCATATCATGACAGAATGCAGATAAATAAAACAGCATATCCCAAGTTTTCTTTTTCTGCCAGTCTCATTGAGCAGCGAGGTGGAGGTATTCCACAAAATATGTAACAAATCAGGTGCATTTGGAAATAAGTCCTTCCTTGCACTGCCTCAACTATCGATGGCACAAACACTGCCCATGACAGGTGAGCAGAGAAGAAACCCAGTGAGGACGGGAACAAGGGATCCCAGAATGTTCTGGTCTCTTTCCTCCATAGGTTTTCCCCTCCTTCACCTTGGCTCACCCAGAAAATAAGTAATGCTGGCTCTTCTGTGTCCTTCCAGACTCCTGGATGGCAACCACAGGGTCTCCCTTCAGTGAGTGTATCAGAATCTCCAGAGGTAAAAGCATGAGTAATAAAACGTTACGCAAGATAAAGACAGACAAAATCAGCTTGGCTGATGTGGAATCAGTGAAAGCTGAGAAAGATTTTTCTGTTACTCTGGGTATAAAGTGCTGGGGTCAAAGTCACTGGTAACAAAGTTGAAGGTTATTTTTCTATTGAACCTTCATTTCCTTTAAGTTTTAGGATAAAAATCACCATACTTTAAAGAACAGTGCTTCATCAAAAATACCCCAGGTACAATCTTCATGTGGCAACTCCCAAGTGGCAGAAAGGAATATGGAAAGACTACTGTCTGAAGTTACACAGACTTTGAATGAAATTCCCATTTTATTATTTGCTAGCTATGTATTATTTGGCAAATCTTTAACCTCTATGAGCTTCAGTTTCTTCATAACAGTAAACACAGTAGTTAACTTATCAACGCCTTTCCATGCACCATGTAACTGAATCCTCATAAGCACCTTGTAGACTGTCCTGGTGGAGCAGACAGTAAAGAATCCACCTGCAACACAGGAGACCAGCATTTGATCCCTGGAATGGGAAGATACGCTGGGGAAGGGAATGGGCAACCCATTCCAGTATTCTTGCCTGGAGAATTCAATGGACAGAGGAGCCTAGCAAGCTACAGTCCATAGGGTCACAAAGAGTCGAGCATGACTGACAAACGTAACAATCCTAACTGGACAGAGAGGTCAGTAGGTATTCAGCATTTCTGATTTTATATATGAGAAAACTAGGACAAGGAGTGTCTTAGCTGAAGGTCAAGGAATTGATACATGTTGGTACTAGAACTGGTACTCAGATCTTTTAATCTCCCCAAACTGTTTTTTCTAAGATATCAAGCTTTTGGAAAAAGGCCCAGGTGCATGTCTTTGTATGATAAGACACTAAAAGGAATTAGATATACTCTGAAAACACAACAGAAGCTTTACAAAATTCTGTAGAATCTGTTTCTAGGTATTCAAAAAGAAGTATGAGAATCACAGGCAACTTCTGAAGCCAAACATAAGAGTTGGCTGTTGATCTGGGAAAGGAAGAACAGACAAGCAAAAAAGAAGAAGACCAAGAAAAGGAGGACCCAGGGAAACATCTCTCAAGTAGAAGAATACTGCAAGGAGTCCAGCCTGTAGTCAGTCTTCAGCCAGTGTGTGGAACACTAACTGATGATTCTTATCTATTGTGTCATTCCCTGGCTACATAAAGGACTCAAGAGAGTTGAGAATTCCACTGGTGAAGCTGTCAGAGTTGGCAAGCAGAAAAAAAATTACCAATTTTTGTTTCCACTACAATTGAATAGGACAATCATTACTGTAGAATGCTGATTCTAAGGGTATAGTGCCTTCAAATTCCCTATAATAAAATATTTACTGCTCTTTACCAGGATATTTCCCCCAAATTCAGTGTCAGTGACACACTGGGTTAAGCCTTCTTTGACCTAATATATGAAACTCCCTAATGTAAATTTTAGCAATTTTCAATATGCTGTAACTTTCCAATATTCTATTTCAATATTGTATCTATCGTGTATTCCCTTTGTCTGCTGACACTAAAGTTTTAGCTAAAAGAAATTCATCAGGTTTGTCAGGCAAGATCTGTAGTCAAAGGCACACTGCTTATTTTTCCTGATGTCAATATGATAGCTACCTGGCTTTTTGCATCCCTGTTATCTACTTCACAAATTCATACAGATATGAAGTTTCAAAAGAACAAAATAACTAACATCTTTCTTTCCTCCAAAGAGAATAAAACTTATATTGCAGAGACAAATATGGGAAAGGATACTCACCGTAAGTGCAAATCATTTTACTAGCTTCTCTGAAGAGAAGAATTCCATTAGGAGATGATACATCAAAATTCAAACGCTGGGATCTGAGAAATACAGCAAAAATTTAGACTATATGTACAGATATATGTACAGATAAAGAAACAAAATGTAGGATTAAAATACTCAGAATTCTCATTTATTAGAAGTTGCAACAGTACAATTATCCTTTTTAAAAGTATCATTCCATTAAACAAGTATTGACAAAATGTATGTGCTAATTTTTTACTAAAGATACTAGGATAATACAATTATTTTCATTTATTTGCTCATTCAAATAATTCACCTTTTACCTGTCAAAACGATATCCTGACATCCTACATTACAGACCTCTTAGCCCCCTTTCCTTTCATGCAAATGTCTGATTGATAGGTAATAATAAAAAAAAGTCCCAAGTCTGTAAGTTTATATAGATACTTGTACAGAGATTTACATATGAGGTCTCCTGTAGTGCCTAATACACATCTTTAAAACAAATGATAAAATAACAGGAAATCTAAGTACCTTTAATACTGCTCATATGCATAATGGGTCATCTGATACTTCAAGCATATTTCAAACACATTAAATTACATACGGGCTAGAGTTTCCACTGCACATAGCTCAAGTAAAGAGAAACAAATCCCAGAAGTTCTAAATGAGAACAATTTTACTTCCTTAGTTCCTGACAGGTTGGGGGACAGTCTGAAAAGGGCAAAGGACTGATATGCCATCCTGGCATCATATTTGCTTTTTAAACATCACTTTGACTTTAGTTGGCTCTAATCTGCCTTGCTGCTCTGCTTTCAACAAATAACCGTATATTTCTAAAAGGATCAGTAAAAATATGAAACACATCATAGCAAAGAAACACCAGGAAGCAAAGATATTTTGCTAAGGAATAGAATACATTGCTGGTTCTCTCTGTGTTTTCAAAATGCTTTAGTATTAAGTGCAGTTATAACTTATTAGAAGTGCTATTAGAAACATTTGATGGTTCACATACAGTTCCAATTAAAGAAATGTATGCACATAATTCACATCAGGTTTCATGGAAATAAAAACAAGATAACATCTTCTGATATGATAAATTTTTGCCAGGTAGTTCTGAGAACAATTGTGCTAGATATGAATTATCCATCTATGGCAGATATACAATATAGTTATTTTTTTCCTTTATATTAAATGTTTTATCAGTAATGTACTATTAATTATCTTGCTGAAAAAGTAATTTAATAAAAACTAAATTTCTAATATAAAATATATAGCCACCCTTCCTTTAGTCTTTAAGGCACCTAGAGAACAGTTTTTAAAAAACCTAACAGCTTTCAAAAGAATAATACTCACATTTATTTATTTGCCAGGTCTTTTTCCACCTCTGGTTTTAAAATTTTTAAATTATTGTGGTGAAACACTCAGCACCAGAGATTAAATTAGAGATGCAATCCATACTGCTTCCCTGTCTGGGTATCTCCCTTCCTACATGCAGTTTACAGAGAGGAACTGATGAAACAGGCTTGCACGCGACAGGTAATTTGGTGCTAAGCCACATTCATAACGACACATTTTAAAGTGGTAAAGCCAATTAGCTCATTGCAGTGTTTCCCTTTTAGCTACACCTTTGTTAATATTTATATGCAGAGAACCTGAATCTCTGCTTCTCTGTGCAAATCACAAGGTTAACCAGGCAATTTCTGAGAAGCGTTGTAGCTGCTATTAAAATAAAAATTGTGAGTGCATAAATCATCCACATATGTGCATTTTGGCACAAAGGAAGGATACCTTAAAAGTCAAAGCAGGGACAATCCCCAGGGCTTTTTGAGACAAACTGTATGTCCATTAAGTGCTCTGGGAGCCTCATCTACAAAATAAAGCATCTCAACTCAGACCTCTCAGCTCCTTTTCTCCTCTACAGAAAGCAGTGAAACAGTTAAAACCACCCTCTCTCCATTTCATGCTTTTGAATCTTTTAAATAATGATGGCTGTGGTCTTCCAACTTTTCCCCCAGTTGCCAGAGTCCCCATATACACCTAATTCTTTCTCCCCAAAGGTTTCAACCTTGTAGCTCTAATTCTATTGTTTTCACTGATCATCTTAAATTTTGGTTCCTGGGTTCTTGCTAAGCCTTAAATACACACACGCTAGGCAGCGACGTCTGACTTCTGAAGCGTGCTACCAAACAGTAGGTTACTTTTGCACTTGCCTGTCATACCTCTTACCTGTTCTGCATCAGTTCTGCCATAAGTTTTAGGATGGGAGTTGTGCATGCTGGCTCTCTATACCACAGCTCGATAGCCCTCTGAAGAACAGGGAGATATGCTGGGTACCTGTTATGAAGCCTGTTAAAGAATTTAAGGGCCAAAAGAAATATTGTTCCTGAAAATTGGTGCCACTGAAAAAGAAAAAAAAAAGGAATCCACATTTCTTCTATGTGTGCCATACTTATGAAGTACCATGTAAGCAACATATGATATTTACAGCATTATACTTAATATTGTAGGAAAGGAAAATAAATTTAGTTCATGAAGGTAAAAACATTTGAATTGCCATTATCCGAGTTTCTTGCACATCAAATTACTGAAGAAAAAAAATGGTGTTAATTATATAACTTTTATCAATAAAATACATAAAATTAGAAGGTGAAAGTGTTAGTAGCTCATTCATATACGGCTTTTTGTGACCCCATGGACTGTAGTCAGTCAGGCTCCTCTGTCCATGGAATTCTCCAGGCAAGAATATTGGAGTGGGTTGTCATTCCCTTTTCTAGGGATCTTCCCAACCCAGGGATGGAACCTGGGTCTCTTGCATTGCAGGCAGATTCTTAACCACTGTGCCAGAGGGGCATGGTAAATAGTAAACCCCACATATTTATCTCCCAGCTTAGAAATTATCTACACACATTCTTTTTCCTTTTTTAAAAACTGTTGACTTAATCAGCTGTTTAGTTTCACTGTAGCCCCAAGGAACATTCGGGATGATAGCTTGAAGAAAAGCTTTCAGTTCAGTTCAGTCACCCAGTCATGTCCAACTCTTTGCGATACCATGGACTATAGCACGCCAGGCCTCCCTGTCCATCACCAACTCCTGGAGCCTACTCAAACTCATGTCCATTGAGTTGGTGATGCCATCCAACCATCTCATCCTCTGGCAGCCCCTTCTCCTCCCGCCTTCAATTTTTCCCAGCATCAGGGTCTTTTCAAATGAGTCAGTTCTTTGCATCAGGTGGCTAAAGTATTGGAGTTCATCTTCAGCATCAGTCCTTCCAATGAATATTCAGGACTGATTTCCTTTCAGATAGACTGGTTGGATCTCCTTGCACTCCAAGGGACTCTCAAGAGTCTTCTCTAACACCACAGTTCAAAAGCATCAATTCTTTAGTGCTCAGCTTTCTTTATAGTCCAACTCTCACATCCATACATGACTATTGGAAAAACCATAGCTTTGACTAGACGGACCTTTGTTGGTAATGTCTCTGCTTTTTAATATGCTGTCTAGGTTGGTCATAACTTTTCTTCCAAGGAGCAAGCGTCTTTTTAATTTCATGGCTGCAGTCACCATCTGCAGTGATTTTGAAGATCAAAAAATAAAGTCTGTCACTGTTTCCATTGTTTCCCCATCTATTTGCCAAAAAGTAATGGGACCAGATGCAGGGATCTTAAGTTTTCTGAATGTTGAGTTTTAAGTCAACTTTTTCACTCTCCTCTTTCACTTTCATCAAGAGGCTTTTTAGTCCTTCTTCGCTTTCTGCCGTAAGGGTGGTGTCATCTGCATACCTGAGGTTACTGATATTTCTCCCGGCAATCTTGATTCAACTGAGCTTCATGCAGCCCAGCATTTCTCATGATGTACTCTGCATATAAGTTAAATAAGCAGGGTGACAATATACAGCCTTGATGTACTCCTTTCCCTATTTGAAACCAGTCTGTTGTTCCATGTCCAGTTCTAACTGTTGCTTCTTGACCTGCATACAGATTTCTCAGGAGGCAGGTCAGGTGGTCTGATATTCCCACCTCTAAGAATTTTGCACAGTTTGTTGTTGGCATAGTCAATAAAGCAGAAGTAGATGTTTTTCTGGAACGCTCTTGCTTTTTCAATGATCCAGTGGATGTTGGCAATTTGATCTCTGGTTCCTTTGCCTTTTCTAAATCCAACTTGAACATTTGGAAGTTCATGGTTCATGCACTATTGAAAGAAAAGCTTGGGTAGCATGAATCTATCTACTCAAGGTCAGTTTGCTAAAAGTAGGCCCATGTACATTAAAGGAGAAATTCTCAAACATCCTCATCAATAGTTAGTACATGCCTTGCATGCCTCTGATAAGTTCATGGCTGAGACCACCAGATCCCGGAAAACTCTGAATCAGCTCCACTGGTCCTTTACCCACAACTGGCCTCCTGCTTACCAAATGCACACAGAATATTAAGCCCTAAAACTTCAGCAGAAAAAACCCTTCCTATGCTACTACCGTCATTCACTTTTTCTTTTCCTATCCCTAACTCTGTCTCTTTCTGATGTTTTCTAATATACTTGTCTTTGTTTCAGATGAAAGTGCTGAACTGAATCACTTCATATTTTTCCTTTCCTGTGTGTTGTGGGTAGTGACCTCCATGGTGAGGAAGATCATGATTTTCTTCCCTGCTCTTGGAATAAATTTCAAGTTCCTTGGCATGGCAAACAAGGTCCTTATCTGGTCCCTGCCTACCTGTGGTCTCATCTGTTAGTGCTCCTGCCCTTATCTATGGTTCAGCCATTCTTAATTCTCAGCAAATCCACTGAAGCAGACTCTCCCTTGCCTCCATTCCTCCATATGCTGTTTTTTCTGCCTAATACATTCCAAACTGTATCTCAATATCTAGCTCAAGTTTTACTTCCCCTGGGATGGTAAAATTTTCTTTCTTTTTTTTTTTTTGTCAAAAGGCATCAATCTCTTCCTCATCTAAGTTCACTCGAGCACTTTGACCACCACTCTCTTATAACAAACTGTTGATTACAGTTGACTGCTTGTATTACCCATCTGTTCCATTAGACAGTGAGTTTCTAAAGAGCAAAGACCTCTGTTTGCCCAGTATATTCCTGCTAATTCCTATCTGTCCCTCATTTCATTAGAGATGTCAATTATTCCAAGAAGCCTCTACGACATCACCCCTAATCCCTCACACCTAGAGTGTCTCCTGCATATGGCTCTGGTACCCTAGTACTATCACAGCGCCTCATCTCTGCTATCATATGCTTTCTGAGAGCAGTGCACAGGCAGTTATTGCATGCAGGTACCTGGCACAAAATGGATTTCAAAAAATATCTGTTGTGGTAAACATGAGGTGCAGTGTACTTGATTAGACCTACCTATTTCATTCTTTCAAGCTGTGCATTTCACTTTGAAGCTTCAGGAAATACGTCAAAAAACATTCAATGAAAATAAGCCCTCAAATACCTTAAGAGTGTTATGCTCCCTAAAAATGCAAAAAGCAATACTTTTGACCCCCTAGATACACCATATTATGGTTATATTTGAATATATAGAAACAATTTACTTAAGTATTTATTGAAGGCCTAGTCTATAAATGTCTTATGACTGTTAGACTCTCTAGAGACATCAACGAACCAAACATTAAAACAATCCCTGCCTTCATGGAATTTATATTCTAATAAGATAGAAAATTAAACAAATATGACACATTAGAAAGTACTACAAATAAGGCAGAGATGGGAGATAAGAAGTGTGTGTGTGTGTAATGAGAGTGGGGCCAATTCTAATATGCTTCTGACAGAGGTGACTGCCACAGAGAAAATGAGTGATTACTGGAAGGCGGAGTCGAGGTCTACCAAGCAGGGAGGTTAAAAGGCTTCAGAGTGAGACTCAGACTCAGATTACAGGGTGAGAATCAGAACCCACTCGAGGAGATTAATTTTTCAGTGGCCTTGTGAGAACTACATATATATAGATAGGAGGAAGACAGTGGGGAGCCCTTTGGTAGAAGTGGCACTGATCTAATTGCTTTCACCTAGAAAGATCTGTTCAATGAATTGTGAAGGTCAACACCAGATAAATAAAAAAGATTAATGATTTATTATTACCTTATAAGATGTTAAACATGAAAAACTGAAAAGCATGAGGTTTGCTTCTTGACGACACCCACCCATCCATCCATCCATCCATCCAACCATTAAATAGTTACTATGTGCTAGACCCCAAGAAAGTATAAATTAGTAAAAATGTCATTCTTTTTCTCTGAGATTTCACAGTAGAGAAAGCATTCTAGTATACTAGAAGGCAAGAGAAGAGCTTTTGTTAAAACTTCTAGGAGACAGGAGTGTGGGGATGGGGCTCCAGAACAGAAACAGGCTGCCAGTTCAGAGCTCACTGTTACGAGTAGTCCTGAAGGTGAACCATCTGTACCTTTGTGCACGGAGGCAAGCACTGCTGGGAAGCCTTCTGGCAGATGCCTGTCTATCTTTCAACACCTAGCTCAACTTTTACCTCCCTGGGGCATCTACTTCTTGCCCCAAACACCAATCTCTTCTTCTTCAAAGTTCATATGGTGCTTGGCATGCGTCTTTGTTACAATACATTGATGGTTTATTAGTTATTTATTACAGCCACTAGATTATGAGCTTCTAATGAGCAATCCACTTTACTCATTCTTATAAAAAGCAAACATTTTATTAATTTCTCATGCTTAGCACAATGTACTAAAAAAATATCCTGCTGAATAGCATATTTTCAGGATTACTTTCTTCCCTATTTCAGTTTGTCCAACACACTGCTAACTATTTTCTTCTTGAAATACAATTCTGATTCTGTTAGTCAATCAAAACTATTAATTACTTTATACCATCTATGGAGTAAGTTCTTCAGTTCCTTAGTCTGATAGTCAAGGGTCCCAGACAATCTGTGTCCAACCATAAAATAAGTGGTATCTTTGACAAAACATCTTTTCCACTACTCTCCTTCCTAAGTCTGTACTTAGACCAACAGAAAACCTCTTGCTTCACAATTCCAATAGTCCAATCCTACTTACTTGCTAAGACTCAGAGAAATATTTTCACCTTTACAGAGCCTTTCCTGATGCCCCAGATAAATGCAATCACTTTATTTATATCTTTTTTTATGGCACTTACCATCTTCTGTATTTTATTACAGTCATTTAGGTAGTTACCTAACTTACTCTATTAAACCATAAGCTCATTTTGGGGGTAGGATCTAAGAAAAATCTACATCCCTCATGAACCTTAGCAGAATTAGAGAAATATTCTGGGTAGGTGAGCAAATCGGATTGCTTTGTCTCACTCCATATTAGGGAAAGGAACTCACAATAGTGGTGGAGTATATTTACTTTGTGCCATACACTGTACTAAGCCTATATATGCACACACATATATGTATATATATGTGTGTGTGTGTATGTATATAGTTCACTTACTTCTTATAACATACCTGAGAGATTAAATATTATTAGCCCTGTTTTATGGAGGAGAAACTGTGATTCTGAGACATTAAGTAATTTACCCAAACCCCACAGGTTGTTAAGTGGTAAAATCAGGACTGGAACCTAATACTGTTCTATTTCAAAGTTTTTTTCTCCCCCCTTACAAATCTCATGGTCTCGACTTATCTTTGTATAATATGTTTATGCATACTAATCAACAGCACTGACTGCATGACTGAAAACAGTGTAGTCAAAGATCAGAATTATGACAATTAAAGCGATAAGTGTGAGGAAATAGCATCATACACATTCCTTCGTTTTTTTTTTTTCAATTTCCTGCTGGATTTTTGATACTTAAGTCTATGTCTGATCTGGGAAACGTTTAAACAAGGTGACTAAATACACTGCAAGGTAAGATGCTTTTCGCTGTTACACTCTCACTATATGGGCAAAGCAGCAGCAATAATTCTTCTTCAGTTCTCCAGTAGTGGGACAACTGACCAACACGGTTGCTGTGTAGTCCCGGGCAGTCCAGGCTGGGAAGGGCAGAGTGACAAGCAGTGTAGTTTGTGGACCAGTTAATGCAGTCAGTGTTTACAGCAATGTTTTTAAATTAAACAGCTAACCACTAAAATAGCATTTTATCAAATAATCACCATAAATAAAATGCATTTTGACTTTAAGATGACATGTGCTCTTATAGGATGTTTCTTCTGCATGCTAAGGACTATACAGAAAATTAAAGAACATACATTTTTTTTTGTGGATAAAAGGCAAATAAACTTTCCCCAGCAAGTAATGTGAGAATCATCACTGATGGTTTGACATATCAATATTTCAGGAAGAATAAATGACTTTCATATCTATGTTTTTTTAAAATCATATACTTACTCATTTTTATATTACTAGAATACTTTGGAAAGAATCTGTACTTTATCACCTGAAACTGCTTAAAGTATTTCAAAATATTTTAATAAAGCTCTTTGAATTATCAAATAATGTAACTTTTAAACAAATTTTACTATTATTATAAATATTTGCTCTTCATCCCTTGCCCAAAGGAAAACTATAAATCTTGCCTCAACTGAATGAACACCATTTATCATATTCATTTTGTTGTCAATACAATTATGAAAAGCCTTTGGCCTTTTCCCAAGGAAGCTGATTTGCTACTGAAACTCAATTATTATAAGCAAGGCCGGTACAAAGCCACCTCGTGTGGCAATGTAACATAACTTCCTGCATAACTGACACTTCGCCCTCTGCCCCTGACCCTAATAACATCGATGTCTATGGGCAAAAGGAGGAGACAGTGTTTTCTAGTTCAAAACAAAACATCAAGTCTCAAGGTTTTCCCATTTGCTATTTTCTGCCATCTGCTGGACAAAAGTTTCATTTCTGATAGGTACCCAAAAGAAGGAGCTAAGTGAGGAAATGAAAAAGGCTTAATTAAAAAGTTAAATTATAATATGTTCTATAAATTTTAGGCAGTATCAATTATGACAGATATTTCTATTCTTTGATGGTAAGGGGAACGTTCTTATCTTAACGCTTGGTTAAGATTGTTGATAAGAAAAACATGAAGCATTAATTGCTGACATCCTAGAACTGTAGTTGGTTTCAAGATAATCATTAATTTTAAAGTGTCAAAATGAAGTTTTAGTAATTTTTGAAATAAATTAGAGTTTTTGCTTTGTGAGCTTCTATTTGTGTTTAGAGAAATGAAAGAGTCATATGTAATTCATTTATTTTTCATCGTTAAAAGAGCTGTGTGACTTTTCATGTTAAAGTCTGCAGTCGCACATGTGCTTTGTATGCTGGTACAAAGACATATGTGATTTCTCAATGGAAGGAAATTCTTATCTCTAACCCGTCTATGGACACACAAATCTGATGAGGTAGGTTTTAACAGGAAGTAAAAATGTAAGTCAGTATTCAAATTAATGTCAAGCAATTTCTTTAACATGTGGAGATCTCCCTAAAACGTGCCCAGATCCTGTTATGTTTTTGCCATAAATGTGCCATCAGTTGAAGACTATCTTTAACAAATTTCTTTTGCAATTTATGAGGGAGGTTTGATAAAAAGGGTTTGAAAAGAGCAACTGAGAAATAACGTAACTTAAAAATGAAGTTGTTTAAGGTTACAGAATTTCTCTTATGCACTGATGGTTTCCTGTATTGAACAAAAAGGCATGAAAAACATTACATTACTTACATAACTTGCATAAACTATCACTTTCTGTTAAGATCAAACAGGATTCATGTAATACTGTTAAAACAATATTAACAGTAACATCTATGATTACCTTATTACTTTCTGTTAAGATCAAAGAGGATTCACGTAATACTGTTAAAACAATATTCATAGTAACATCTATGATTACCTATTATGTTCTAGACATTATATTAACACAAAGTGCACTGCCTATTTCTATGGTTACAATAAGCCACGATACTGGATGTCTCTTTTTTTTAGATGAGGAAATTCAGAGAGGTGAAAAAAATTGCCAAAGTTTACACAGCAAATGGAGATCTAGGAATTCAAGCCAGGTCTGCCCAACACCAAATCCATGCTATTTTTATTCATAATGATGAGGCATTTCTGTGGGGGGGATTTTGTTTCCTTAATTTGTTTGCTGTCTTTACTAAGCTTTGGCAGCGGTAAATTCAAATTTTACATCAAATGAAAAATCCTAAACATTTATTTCCCCCTTGTCCATTAATGTTTTCATGATGATGAAACACTATAGTGTGATAAATTAATAGGCCTCAAAGAGAAAAAGTGAAATCAGCTCTGCTATTTGAGATAGCGTAAAAATCCAAATCCCTTAGAAAATGCCAAATGATAGGCTTCATTGATCTTGATTTAAAGATGTTAGCCCAAGAATCCCCCCAACCCCCACATAAACAATCATTTGGGGATGTGATTTTTAAGTTGTCAATATTTTAATGGCACCAAAAAAGTGGCTTCTCGGAGCTGGGTCTCCAAGTGATGTGCTCAGTTATCTGTGCGCTGCCACTGTGCTGTAATTTTTAGCTGATCACACATTAGTTCGTTTAGCTTTGTTTCCTCTTCCCTACTGTGCCATACTATTACATGAAAGCCAGGGGCCTGGCATCCCTCTGCGCACAGAGCTGGTATTGTCACAGTGTAATAAGGATACATCCAGTCAAACAGCATGGTGTAGCTGGTCTTTGTGTTCAGTGCAAAGGCAATCCCTCGAAGATCTCTTGCCAGCCCGATCAACATACGCTGTCAGTGGGAAAGAGACACAGTAATTGATTTTCACGTTAGCACAGAGCAGATGGAGTAATAATCAGGCAATAATGACCACATATCTGATTTTGATTCATTAGCTAAAATGTCTCGCTCAGATCTCTTCTATAGAAAGCCATAGACTTTTTAAGCAAACAGACCATCAGATCTGCTGACCAATTCTGCTTCTTATAAATTGAGCTAAGTCATAATTCCAGTGGCATAGAAACATTTAGATTAACATATTTTTTCCTGAATAATGCCAAATTAGAAAAAAAAGAGGACCGATAATTCCACAAAATAGAAATGTACAGGGTCTAGACATTATTTAATAAAAACAAATCTTAACCACATTGGCTTGTAAGAAATCAGTCCCACTATGCAATCTGGAGTCTAACCTGAAAGCACACTGACATTTAAAGATCCCTAAGGAATATTCTCAGTAACTTAGGACAACAAAAAACTGGCCAGATGACCTATTGGTACTGTGACATACCCAGAATGGCACTCATATTCCCCAAGCAAGGAAAAGAGTTCTTCAGTATCAGAAGACTTGCATTTAAACCCAGCTTTACTTCTTAACTGTAAGACTTTAAAGCAAGGCCATTTATCAGTCTCAGTTTTCTCATCTCTAAAAGGGGCTAATAATGTCTTTCTTACAGAAGTAGAGACAGGAATAAATATATATAAAAATGCCTAACAAGAGACTGATACATACATAAGTGTTCCATAAATATTTAGCTTTAGAGAAAACAAAACAAAAATTTGACTCTTAAATAAAAGAGATTTGATTTTACTCTGGACTCTTAATTAAGCTGTCCTTAGGATGATGTTTGGGAAGAGAGAAAGCCCATGAACAGATGCTAGAATGTCAGAACAAAGAGTACAAATAAACATAATTGCAAAACAAGGGGGTGTGATAATTGAGATATGCAACTGTGATTTCTTAAGATTTCAGTGGAAATACTCTGCTAGAAAATGGTCTCTGAACTTTTTCTTTAGTCAGATTTTCTTTTCCTTCATACTTTGGTAATAAATGAAAATCTCTATAGGAGGGCATTTAAATTAGCATTAAGGATTTGGAAGTGAATCCTGACCATCATTTAATGGCTAAAAAATTTCAAAATTGGAAATAGTTTATCTGTCACAAAGATCTGTAATTTTTGATTCCCTGCCCTCTCATACCCCATACCTAAAAGGTGACTCAATACAACTGGAAGTTTTTTTATAATAATATTCAGCTTCTATACTGCGTAATAGCTCACAGAATGATGGTAATCTGAATTTCTGAATCTGTAAACCCTGAGTGTTTGTTTCTGCTTCTTTAAATAACTTATTCCTTTTCCTTTCATAAGCTTACCAGTACTTATTTTTCTATAATCGGCTAGTCTATCTGTAGTTCTCTCATATGATTGCGACTTTAAAAAAAAATTTTTTTTGCCTCTTATGGAACTCATTTTCATCACCTGGAACCTTTCTCCTCTTTCTCAGCTTTCCATGTTTCTTGTAGCTTCCAGAACAAAATATGTCTTCTAAGAAGTCTTCTCTGAACAACTCTATTCTAATTCTCTTTGCAGTCTTCCTATCAAAGTGGCCTTTTCAGGTTCTATTTTTATTATGTACACTTAAAGGTTACAGGCTACTCTTCAAATAATCTTAAGTTTTCACATATACGCAGGTACTCAACATTCAACTCTAAACTGGTCAATAGGAAAAATGAGTTTTAGTTTGTGTCTAGTGTAAAAGGCTCTAAAAATATTTTAGATTATCCTTATTATACAAAAAGGTTAATGTTTATTTTATCACAAATTTTTCTTTCTTAAAAGATGCCAAGTTAATAGAAGGGCTCAAATCTATGAAAATATATCAATATTTAATATTAGAAAATGTTACTACAAAGCAAAGAAAGCATATGACAATTAGTAATATGTTTTCAATAGATTGAATTGAGCAGGAAAATGCTCAATGTGAGAAACAGATTTATTATGCTCAATTTTTTACCTCAAAGCAGCAATGGTACTGAATAATCTATACAGATGCTCAAACAACACTAAAGAAGTACTTTCTTGATAGTCAAAACATACCCAGTCTGGCACGAGACAAGGAAACCTGTTAACTAGTTCAACCAGGCTACCAGACAATCTCAGAAAGCGAGGGGTGATCTGACTGAAATTTAGGAGAGGAAGAGGCACGATTTACCATCTCACTTAAAACAGTGGAAAGAGATTTATTTCAAAAGTTACCTTTCTCATATAGCTAGTCATACTTGACTAGTCTGAAAAATGAGAGGTCCTTATAAAGTGAGGCTGCTCTGAGGAGTGGGGCAAGTCTGAGGTATCTAATCCTCAGGATTCCTTTCTTGGATAGTTCACGGAGAAACTGCTTGGTGTTTCAGCCTCCTGCATGGTGAACGGTTGTCTGTGTGCCAAGTGTGAGATGGATGGGCTGGGAAACAGCTGAAATGCGACTCCTTCCACCCTGACCCCCAAAACAGGGTTTCTAATGGAAAGTCTGACAGACCCTTTACTGTAGTGGCACTACTGGGGGCAGCTATAATATTATCCTCATAATTCTACCATATAATAACAACAAAGAAAAAGAAGGTGAAGGGTCATTGTGCTTTGTCTTTAGAATTAAGATGGCTGTCTTCATCCTTACAGCATACTCTTAATTCTGGAGACACATCTTAATAACCTCTAAATAGTTCCAACAAAAGAGCCGTGTCAGAGGAATGAGCAGGCCCCAAGGTGTTTCAACTGGAGTGTTTTCATCTGCCTTTATTGCTCTATCCCTCTCCAGAATTAAGGCAATAACCTGTGATAAATTATTCAGGAACTGCTACAGGGATCAAAGCAAAATCATTCTGTTAAAGTGCTGTTTGCAACATTTGGCACTTAGTGCGAAAACTTTTAATGTGCGCATGCTGAAAATCTAGGATTTTAAATAATTTAACATTGTGGAGTTTTTACGAAGGGACTAAAGATAGCAGGTTCCTATTTAACTGCTCCTTTTCCTCCTAGAAGTTTTCATTCATTTTCCTTAAAACCGATGACGTCATGGCCAAATCAAAAATGATGCATGGGTCGTCAGGGTATTGGACTGTATTTTACTAAGGGTACAATTATAGGGGGAAACATTTACTGTGAACTAATGCTTTAGAGCCAGGGTTTGTCATGGCAGTTTCTTCCTTTTCCCCTTTACTTGGAAAAGAAAAACCCAAGACAAAAATTCAATGTTCTCTTCAATTTTATTAGGACTAAGTAAGAAAACAAAGCTATAAATTTAGGAGTTTTACAGCATTTCCTCCTCTCACAACCATATTTCAATTTGGCAATGTAGGTCCTTAATGTTTGTGCTCATCCTGAAATCTGCATTTGAAAAATATCTATAAACAGGGAGTTAGAAAATCCTGGTAAGGGTTGCAAATTAAATGAATTTGGCAGTCCTGCGGCATTTTCACAGAGATATTTTAACAGCATCACCTCCTGTGGATTGGAATACTAAATACTTTATTGAAGAACAAAACAGAACTGTTTTTATCTTTAGTACTTGCAAAATGAAGTACCTGAAAGCACTTTTGCATGTATTATTTATTCATCATGATAGGAAAATAGCCTTAACCTAATAAATTACATTTAAAAGCATTTAGTACAAAAGTTTTGTTTATGATAAAGCAACAGATTTAGTTCTTTATCGGTAGCTTAAAGCACCAAGTTTTCTTTATACAAATTAGACAGATGGTGCTTACAGTAGAATTTACTAAAGGTCTGTCACAACAAATGCAGCCAAGCTGCATATTTAATCACTGCAGAATCTTGTCTACCTGCAGCTGCCAACTGCTAATCCAATTTCCCTGATAAATGTGGCAAGAGACACGATCAGCAATAAAGAGCATCTAACTCCATTTTCCTGCAGGGCGTCTTTTGATGAACATTTAGGACGGAAGCACGGAGTGCACTGTGTGGCCTTGGTCCGTGGCAGCTGCATGCATTCTGAGGCACAGTTCTCAGGTTACTCACTTAATTCTGCCACTATCATTACGTTGCTATTGATCTCAGTAGCTGTTGCCTACACAGCATTACTCTAGATGAAGCTGAATCAGGCAGTTATCATGCATCAAACTTGCTCAAAAGCCTGGAGATTTCCCCTTAATTACTTGTGATTTTATTTGCAAATACCGTTAAAGTGTAATCAAGCAGTCACTTTCCAGGGTCGTTAAGAACTTGCTGGTTTAGGGATATATCACTGGAACTCCATTAAAAATGACTCTAGGAAGATGGTTTCTATCAAACTAGATGGGATTACATCAAAACGGGCTTGGAGTAGAATGAAATCTTCAAATGAGACAAATGTAATTTTTATAAAGATACTCTTTTTCAATCTTACTGCTTCTTTTCTGATATAAAGGGCAGCAATAGCCACCTTAAAGTTGCAAAGATTTGTTTTCGGTCATTAAAAATATTTGGAAGACAACTGAAAAATAAAGCTAACCTGAACAGAAAGTCTGGGGAAGAATTTCAGCAACATTACAAACACACAGAAGATCACTAAGATCTTTTTTTAAGTTTTAAAATTCTATGACAATTGCATATTGTTAAACCTTCATTTCAAAAACTCTACTTCAAAATAAAACGGTACAGTGTTTGGTTAATTATTTTTTAGTAGATGAACTACACTAAATAATCACCAAAGGCCATCATTCTCCTATTTGGCTTCTTAGTGCTAATATTTCTTTTTGATAGAGAGAAGAGGAGCTGTGCAAATAATGGTCAGTATTTTCACCGTATCTCAAGTAACAGTAAACATGATTCAAGTATCACCAGCAAAGGTGGCTACATTATTGCTATATATTCATTAGTCTTTTAAGAATAATAACCAGTGTCAGTCTATTTAATATAGCCCTGATGCATGAGAATTTCAGAAGATGTTACTCCTATTTAGCAGATCTTGTGTTCCCCATCCCCCATATTAAAATATGGGGCTGTGTTGTCACAAACAGCTTGCTACACACTTAAGGATTTTACTAATAAAACATAATGTTGTCTTAGATATTATGACTGTTGCCACAGCTGAACTGACTTGTCAAATCAATCCTAATATGGCTCCCACAGGCACATAAAAACCTTATTTAGCTATCAGTTATCCTAATCACTTTGTTCAGTTTAAGAACGCAATATTTCAAGACCAGCTCCTATTTATACATATATGCCTAGCCATTTAATAAAGTCCTGATTTATATAAATTCTTGTTTTAAAAATATTTAGAGAAGTGGTATTTTAGCATGTATACATTTGCGCATTCCTCCATATAAATATGTTGAAACATACAGTGCGGGGTGGATGAGGGAATAGGGACATTTAAAGTGGCGTACCCAAGAGAAATGTTCTTTTAAAAGATACTGCCATGGGAGACAAATATGCCATCTAATCATAAGCTGACTATCTGAAATCATTTGATAACCTCAAAGTTCATTTGTATAAGAAAAGTACTTTTATGAAAAGCACACCTCGAAGACACAGGTAACTGGGAAATGAGGACTGATGAGGCACGGAGCACACAGACCTGCAGCCCTTGTTCTGAGTTTACACCTAGGTTTTGTCCTAGAAAGAACAAAATCACCTTTCCTCATGTTTGGAAAAAAACCCACCTTTACATCTTCTTGTTTAAAGTTGTTGTTGAGTATCTGTAATACTGTTTCGAAAGAGACTGTAAGAGGCATCATGAAATTTTCAAATTCATCCTCATCTTCGCCTATCAGAAAAACAAAAGGGTCATCACGGTTTAAAATGCATGCTATTGTCCATTAGCCTTCACAGTGAGTGCTTTATTCAGGCTCAGAAATGTTTTCGAGAAGGGGTCAGCCTGCATTCACATCCGTATCACACTCTGTGCTTTGGCTCATTGAATATTCTGGTGTTTTGCCTTCTCTTTTGCACCAAATGAAATAGCAAAATTACTTACCAGCCATTTTTTTCTCTGGCTCTTTATTGGATCAAACAGACTCATGCCCCAGGCACCTAAGCCTTTCAGCTCTTAGGGCCCCCAGAGTTTCCCTAATGCCTCAAGGAAAGCCACTTTCAAAGCCTCAGAGAACAGGGTCTGTTTTTCTTTTCTCTTTAGGTGCCAAGGCCCTAAAGGACTCACAGACTCAGGTGCCGAGATAGTGCTAAGTTATTACTCTCTTTTATTTATGTTCTTTTTTTTTTAATTAATTTGTTAAATAGATGTCAGGGAAACAGGATGGGGTCCTGCCAAACAGGATGAGGTCCCTCACGGGTCATTATGGTTTTAAGTACATTCTCCGTGAATACACTTCTTTTTGCAATTAAGCTTCTTTTTCTTTTTATAAAAGCGGGAAGAGATATTTTCTACTGTTTTTCACTATGAAGGTAGACTTTTCATTTAACATATGAATATGCACAATTGACAATTTTCATTCTATTCTTCGCAAAAGTGGGTTCCTTCAAATGAGAAAGTTTACTCATTCATCCTATGCCACAGGGAATTGTGAGCCCCACTTTACAGATGAAGAAACAAGCAGAGAAATGTTAAGTGACTTGCTCAAGGTAGCATACTTAGTTGGAGGTGAAACTTACTGTCTAGATCTTGTGATTTCTTTGCTATCACTTTTTAAATAGAATTAGAGAGGAAACAAGATCTCAGAGAAGAGGCCAGTGGGTCTCAGAGTCTGGTCCCTGCCCTAGTAGCATCAGTATCACCTGGGAACTAGTCAGATATAAAATTTCAGGTTCCGTCCCAGATCCAGCAATTTTCATTTTAAGCAGCCAGGTAATTTAGATGCATGCAAATGTTTGAGAAACACGGGCCTATATGTTATTCTACAGATAAGGAGGGTGGACATGAGTTTGAGCAAGCTCCGGGAGACAGTGAAGGACAGGGCAGCCTAGCATGCTGCAGTCCATGGGATGCAGAGAGCTGGGCATGGCTGAGTGACCAGACAACAACAACAGGAGGGTGTGGTCCAAGGCGACAGACACAGAAGATCAATGGCAGAATCAGGACCTTTGACTCTTAAGGAGTGGCTGATCCGGCTTGACCCTCATCTTTGGTGACTTCTCTTTTCCCTTTAAATGTACACACTCTGTTTCTGGAGTCGGAGCCCATCAGATTCAGGGACTTCGCTTTGCTGACAAAGAGATGTCAAAAGGTCAATGACTCTTTCCTAGTATGCTGTTTAACACAAGGATCAGGGTACTAGGTGAAGGCAAACGAAATTATAGTGACCTCGTGGTGCAACAGCAGTGCATCTGACTCCAGATTAAAATCTCCACTCTGCAAAGTTGACTATGCGTCCAAGTTACTCCTCTTAGACACACCCTCTGTCAACTGGTGCTAACATTAGAGATCTTTACAGGAGCTAGTTTTATTTTTCAAAGCCTAGGTTAAATGATAGCTTTCCCAATGTCTGGATCAAACTCCCCTTCAAGTACTCTCTAAGAATCTACTGCCAGTGTTCCCATCTTCCTCTGGGTTCCCATAGCATTCTGTTTGATTCTTTAGATGGCCTTTGTCAGTCTGATGGGAATGGCAGATATGTTGGCAAAGAGCTAAACCTAACACTAAAAATACCACCTACATCATTCCACCACTACCACCATTAGACGGTTACTGTGGGGATTAACTGAGATAAGATTTGTAACGTGTGTATGTAAATGATCAGACCTACCAGCCTACAGTGACAGTGTCTCTGGCTTTGCTCCTGTAGAGCTGAAACTGCATCTTTTTGCTTCTGTGTGAAGGAGAATGATGTAGATAAGACACCGCGATAAACAGACCCAGGGTCTGGCTCCACTACACACTTTTCAAGTATGGATATTTACATTTTGAGTCTCAGTTTTCTCATCTATAAAATAAGAAAGAATACCTATCTTTGAAGATTACTGTATTTATTAAATGTTTTAACATACACACACAAAATAGATGATGTACCTAGAACAGTGCCTGGTGTGTATTAGGGAAATAGTGCATGTGAATGAAAAGTAGTTGCTCAATTAAAGGTGAATTTTAAAAACATTTTATTTTCTTAACACCAAAGACAGAAAAATTACTAACTGAAGTAAACATCAATTCCTTACATATATAATACATTATATTTAAACTATGTAATCTCACTCTTCTAAAGATGGGATTAATGAGAACAGTGACAATGATCACTGCAGGCAGATAGGGTGCTATAAAGAATGGATGCTTTTCGAGTTCTATGCTTGAATCCTGGTTCTGTCGCTATTAGCTGTCTGGTTTTGGATAAATTCTCTTCACTCACCTGTAATTAAGAGACATAATACTTACTTCTTAAAGGCAGCTGTGAGGATTAAACAAAACACCTGCATGCCCTGTTGCTTAGTGTCTGGCACTTAGAAATGATAGCCGGGAACATTTTTGTTGTTTTGAGCTTAACATGAACTTCACAGAGGTTCTTATGGTGGTCAAACACAGTGTGACAATGAGGTTGCCAGCCCAATATCCTTCCTCTGGGAGCAAGGTAAGGATGTTTAGTCAGAACAAAGATAAACTCAGAACTTGGAACATTTAAACCCTTCACATAGGATACTGAGTTACAGATTTGAAAAATCCCTGACTATCTCTTTCCTTAATCAAAGTTTGAGGCAAACAGGGACGTTAGGAGCATAAGAGAAAGCCACCAAAATGTGAAGGGAAAAGTCAAGATGCAAATACTAAAGAAAGCAATGTGAGCAGCAATTCTACTTAAATGTCACTTCCTCAGAAAGGATTTCCCAGACCACTCTACCCAAAACAGTACCACAGTAGGTGTCCTTCACCCTCACCTACTTTCCAACCGCATAAACTACTTCACTTTTCTTATGAGGCTTACTATGACTGGCTATTAATTTGCTTATTTATTCATTGTCTTTCCTACTAGAATGTAAGCTCCTTGGGGAAGGAACCCAGTCTGTTTTCATCATGACTGTATCCCCAGTGCCTAGAAAAGGGTCAAGAATTTGTGTAGTGACTGGATAACAATAGCTATTTCTTGAGTACGTATCATGTGCAGCCAGTGAATCTCGTACTTAATCTACTTAACAAACACCTATGTAGCCTATACTATCTTCAAAGCATGGTTACGTCAATAATGGTCACAACAATCCTGTAGAGTGGTATGATTATTTCCTTCAATTTAATGTGAACAGAGAGGCTGAAGGAGTTAAGTTTGTCCAACATCTTCTGGCTGGTAAATGTCAGTGAACCACGGTCTCAAATTAGTTCTGCTTTACTCTCCAACTCTACTTCATGTTCTCCCCTCCATGTCTCTGACAGGTTGAAAGGGGTCAGAGGTAGGGACTGAAGTCAGGGTCACAAAATCTTGACTTTGCAGTTGCATGAAAGTAGAAGAGGGTGAAGAACAATTCTTGGTTCTGGTGAGAAAAAGGGACTTCTCTGCAATCACTTGAGTTTAAAGTGGGCAAGTGAGAAACAGTGGTGCATTATTCCCATAGAAACATTTATGTGTCAATTAGCACTGTTCCTATTACTGCAGTGATATGTTGCATCATCTCAGCTAGAAAACTGGTCATTTTTGCTTACTCATGCAAAACACTTTATATATCTATTGAAGATTTTTCCCCATTGTGTTACTGACGAAGGTATTATTTACTGTTTTACCTATGAAAAAAAGAAAACGTGTTCTTACAACTTCATATTCAAGTATGCAGTCGTATATTCAGTATGCCAAATCTACATGTGAACATTTTATGAATATGAAATGTTTCTTTTTTCTAACAAGACATGGGCTCAGACACCAGTATAATCTGAGAGGTTGAAGTGTCAATTTATAGGCTACTGTTTTCACTGGCATCAGGAAAAGTAAATATTAACATAACACTCTAAGTTCCCAGTCATGCATAGATAAAAACAATATTCTTCAGGTTTTAGGGGGATTCCCAAAACTAAATTCCCTCTACTGGATTTCAAATGACCTGATACAACAGAAAGTTACTCATTTTTGAATTTCAATTTTTTTTTCCTTCAGCGAAGTCATATTAAAATACAAATAGTAACTATTTTAGTATGTTGGCTCTTAGATATTTTATTTATAGGATACTTCATTTGTTATTTTGTATAACTTAAAATCTAGATTGGTGGGAATGTAAAATGGTGAAGCAAATATAATATGATTTAGTGACTGTGGAGAACAGTTTGGTAAGTACTCAAAAAGTTAAAAACAGAGTTGTTATATGACCCAGCAATTTTATTCCTAGGCATATGCCCAAGAGAACTGAAAGCATATGTCCATACCAAAACTTAACATATGAATGTTCAGAGCAGCATTATCAAAATAGCCAAAAGGTGGAAACAACCTTACTGTTTATCAACTGATAAATGGATAAACAAAATGTGGTATATCCACACAATGGGATACCAGTCAAGAAAAGGAATAAAGCGCTATATATGCTAAACATAGACGAGCCTCAAAAACATCATGGTACATGAAAGAAGCCAGATACAAAGGTCACATATATGATCCCACTCATACCAAATGTCTAGAATAGGCAAATCCATAGAGATAGATAGTAGATGAGTGGCTTCCAGGAGTCAGGGATAACGAGGAGACACCACTTTATAGGTACAGGGTTTCTTTCTAGGGTGATGAACATATTCTGGAACCAGATAATGGTAATAGTTGCACACTGAGTGAATATTCTAAATACTACTAAATCTAAATACTACTGAATTATATACTTTAACAGGATGAATTTTGTGGTATGAGAATC